TTAACCCTATCCTGGTGGGGCTATTCTTTAACCCTATCCTGGTGGGGCTATTCTTTAACCCTATCCTGGTGGGGCTATTTTAACCCTATCCTGGTTGGGCTATTCTTTAACCATATCCTGGTGGGGCTATTTTAACCCTATCCTTGGTTGGGCTATTCTTTAACCCTATCCTGGTTGGGCTATTTTAACCCTATCCTGGTTGGGCTATTCTTTAACCCTATTCTGGTGGGGCTATTCTTTAACCCTATCCTGGTGGGGCTATTCTTTAACCCTATCCTGGTGGGGCTATTTTAACCCTATCCTGGTTGGGCTATTCTTTAACCATATCCTGGTTGGGCTATTCTTTAACCCTATCCTGGTTGGGCTATTCTTTAACCCTATCCTGGTGGGGCTTATCTTTAACCATATCCTGGTTGGGCTATTCTTTAACCCTATCCTGGTTGGGCTATTCTTTAACCCTATCCTGGTGGGGCTATTCTTTAACTCTTTCCTGGTTGGGCTATTCTTTAACCCTATCCTGGTGGGGCTATTTCTTAACCCTATCCTGGTGGGGCTATTCTTTAACCCTATCCTGGTGGGGCTATTTTAACCCTATCCTGGTTGGGCTATTCTTTAACCATATCCTGGTGGGGCTATTTTAACCCTATCCTTGGTTGGGCTATTCTTTAACCATATCCTGGTGCGGCTATTTTAACCCTATCCTGGTTGGGCTATTCTTTAACCTTATCATGGTTGGGCTATTCTTTAACCCTATCTGGTTGGGCTATTTTTGTCTTATGCATGGCCTTGAGGGCGAATTACGCCATTATCCAGGATAAGGTTATGTATCGGGGTTGGAGGCTCTGGATACGGAGGGGGAGGCTCTGAATACAGAGGAGGCGGATCTGGTTATGGCGGAGGCGTAACTGGATATGGCGGAGGCTATGGAGGAGGAGGCGCCGGATATGGTGTCACATTAGTAAAGGTGAATTTAATACAATTTTAATGATTTTGCATAAATGTATAATTGTATTTAAACCGTAAAATGTAACATTTTCTCATCGAATCCAGTTTTTCAACACACGGTTTCATCTAGTTCGCTTGTCTAAAGTTGCAGGCTCCCGCTCAATAGTATCTGCAATGCTAAGTGTTACTTCACACTACAAATTCCCATTTCCAATACAATACTGCTAAAATATACTTCACGTTTTATCTGCACTCAACTTTTCCTTATTCACTCGAAAAAATACCAGCCTGAAACTTTAATTTTTTCGGCATTATATCTTTGCAACCTGATGTCGTATCTCGTGGAAGAACTTAATAATGCAGTGTTCAATTTAAAGGTTTACAGCATTAATTTAAATGATTTAAAATTCGATGCTGATGATCTCATGGAGTAAATAACGTAAATATTAGTTCAGCATTTAATTGAAAATATATTTCGGACAGGGTTGACCATAGTCAGTTTTAACAATAAAGAAAGTTTTAAAAATTTGATTTGGAGGCAAGAAATCACTCCCGTACAGGATCTGTCGGTTCAATTAATTTGGTGTGACCCTTTGGAAGGGTAAACCAGATTCAATATATAGTACCAGATTCAATATAGTACCAGATTCAAACCTTTTTGTGATCAAAAATGCGGAGGATAAAGCTATTTTAACAGCTATTTTCCCGCTATTTGTTCATTGTTTTTCGAGCTATTTTTCAGCTATTTGTCCATTGTTTTTCCAGCTTCATTTACTGAAGAAAAAAACAATTAGAATCAAATGAAATTTAAAACCCCACGGGATTTAACGAATATTGTTGCAAACCAATAAAAAAGGATTTTTATAAAGGAATGTGAAAATAGCTTTTGTACAGAATCTTCAAAATAAAACAATAAGTTTAAAAAAAAACCAATATATTATTACATGACCAGACAAAGCTTTTAAAGGTACCGTTTTTAATCGGATATACATAGAGTTCTATCAATGAAGGGTCACTTGAAACTAATTGAACAGTTCCTTTAATAATATAGAATAATGCCGAAGATTCTCTTCTTGATCTGATAGACATAGATTTCTCAACCTTACTTCTGCTCCTCGGTATAGCAGGGGCAGCAGCAGCATTCTTCCTTTACCAGGTATAGATAGATAGATAGATCAGATAGATAGATAGATAGATAGATTGATAGATAGATAGATAGATATAAAGATAGATAGATAGATAGATAGATAGATAGATNGGGGTACCCATGTCTCCCCGGGGTACCCATGTCTCCCCGGGGTACCCATGTCTCCCTGGGGTACCCATGTCTCCCCGGGGTACCCATGTCTCCCTGGGGTACCCATGTCTCCCCGGGGTACCCATGTCTCCCCGGGGTACCCATGTCTCCCTGGGGTACCCATGTCTCCCTGAGGGTACCCATGTCTCCCTGGGGTACCCTAAAAAGACGACATCTACTGTTATATCTGTATTATTATTAATAATTCTAAGAACAATCTTTAGATTTGTTTCACAGCATTTTTGTAAATCCTGGAGATAAATTGGAGCCAGCTTCTGGGAGCTTGGAGCAGAAAATGAGATTGGAGCAGGAGCAGAGACTGGATCAAATACAGGATATGCTCCAACCTTTCCCTCCTTCAGTCACGGAGCAAGGTTCAAACATTTTTTTCAACTTTTTAATAAAATTATTTATTGTTACCATTGCAACCTTGAATTATTGAATTGACCCTCCTTTTGTGATTTAAAGTGACTTACAGAGCTATTTGCTTCAGAAACAATAAAGAAATTGTGAGAAATGACCACTTTAATAATAGACGATAAAAATTTTCCACCATTTGATCAGATAAAGATGCTAAAGGGACGAATGAAATAACAAGAAGAGTCCCTTTAATGGGACAGGAAAGGAAAAACGAAAGGGGGTATAAGATGAAACCTGAGAATCTCAGGCATTGAACGATACATATAAGACATCTATCCGATGTTTCTGTCTCGAGAAATTGATATAAAACTGTGTCAAAATTATACGAAAATTCATATATATATACAATTTTGTATAAAATTAACAGGTTTAAACAGATCATAATCAGCAAATATGCAAATCTAAAAACTATTATATCCGACAGGAGCCTGAGAATCTCAGGTTTGCTTCTATTATAATTTTTTTTTTTGCATTTTTAATAGATATAATTGATAATATTATTACATATAGTCCATATTACGTCACCAGAACTTCAGCCAATGGCAGTGTAGTATACTGGTCACGTGATATCCGTATCGTTCAATGCTTGAGATTCTCAGGTTTCTTCCTATACCCCCTTTTATTTTTTCCTTTACAGTCTCTTTAAGTGCATTTTATTTAAATATTATAATTTCAGGTTCAGTAAAAGAATGGAAGAGTATGAGTAGTACAGAGCAGATAAAGTTTTGAAAAAGAAAATATTATTCATGGTTTGGTTAAAAAAGATCATTATTAAAAACAATTATGATTATCTTTGGTCAAAATACATCTACTCTTTTGGAGACTTCTTGAAATAGGAATGCAAATAAAAGTTGATTTTGAAAAAAAGAAATTGTTTTAAATGCAATGATATTTGCAAAATGGAAAGTTAAAAAGATACTATTTTTTTCTGTTAAATTTAAAATTAAAATGCTCAAATTTTTGCATTTTCTTAAAAATCTCTTAACAAATTCTAAATAGTACCATTATTTGTGCAAATTGTGATTGTCTCTGGCCAAATACATTTATTCTTTTAAAGAATCATTACTAAAATGTTAAAATATATTTTACAACAAAAGTTGGTTTTGTAAATATTTGTAAATAAATTCAAAAAAATTGTTTAATTAATATCTTTGAGAACAGCGGTTTTTGGTCCATTTTGTCTATTGTAACATTGAACAATGAACATTTTTTTGCATTTTCACAATTATTTCTAAAATAATTGTGAGCATTACCTTTATTAGTGCAAATTAGTTTCTAAATTTTTAATTTAAGTCCTGAGAGCTAACACGAAAAGAATTTCTAATAATTAGCTGTGATGTACTCTACAGTGTATTCTAGTGTATAATGGACTGGGGGCTAAATATATAAACTAATTTAACTAGTCTCAACTATTTCAACTACAGAGATGCAGAGAGGGGGGGAAAGTTAATTTTCATGATAAAGGAATTAAGCATTTGCCATAAACTCAAATTTTGTAATTTTCTATATATTTGTAACCCGATTGACACCAAACTTTGATATATATGATATTTAATCCAAAAGAAATTATAGTTTCAAATAATTAAGCTCTACGACATTCGGTTTCAAAGTCATAGGAATTAGCAAATCTGATATGGAATTTAAAGAATTTGAGCCGCGGTTTAAATCCGCCAAAACCCGGTTTAAATTAAGCGCCGGTTTAAATCTTGAAACATTTGATGCATTTTAAGAGGAACCAACCATATTTAAACCGCGGCTTAAATTTAAACCGCCGCTCAAATTCTTTAAATTCGGCCACTGATTTTCTGCAGCAACAACTTAATTCTTTTATATGTTTAGAAATAAATCTCTCAATTTTCGGATTTAAATGTTCCGACAAATATTCAATTAAGTTAGAAATTATGACGAAAATATGGTGAACTGTCTAAAGCAGAAGTTTTAAATCTAAAGACGAGACAGGGTTTATTCAATTTAACCATGAAAGGTTTAATTAAAAGAAAAGTTCGGCAAATAGTTTTTAATGATAAAAAAAGATTTGACTTTTATTATCATTATCAAATGAATCAGTCATCCAATGATCATAACGTTGATTCAGAACTCTGAACCTTTCCTAATAACTTCATTTTTGCCCCCTCCCCCCACCCTCTTAACAATCTTAAATTGCCGTCTGCAACAAAGTAAATCAAATGATAAAAAAATCAGATTTTTTTTCAAATTGGCCCTGCAATTTTTTTACTCGAAATTTATAATCCCTGAGAAAAAAGCTTCTTTAGCTTTTAGATTGAAATAAATACATTGAACTTTTCCTTGTTTTATCCTAATCTATTGTAACAAGAACTGTTTTAAAAAACTTTATTTTCAACGAACTCTATGTTCGGTAATTACAAAGATACAAATCATGAAAAGTATGTACAAATCTTATTTAATTATCACAAAAATTTATTTCAATTCTTCAGCTACGCAAGACACTCATTAGAAAACATTTTCCGATCTTTTAGCTGTTTAGTATATTCTCCCCATTCATAGTCCAAGGTTTGGTTTGGCGTGATGTTTCCTGTAATTTCCACCAGGGGTCTTTTTCCGTCATTTCCCAAAATGGCGTCATGGTCTGGTTTACACATTATTCTATTGTTTATAAGATAAAACGCCTCGCCAACACAAAACCTAAAATATTTCTAAAGATTACAAAAATTTTTTTTTTTAAATAATCATTGAATGTTTTGGAGGATTTTGGATACCTATATTCACATTGTTGACATGCAAAACATTCCAGATGATACACATTAGATCCTGCTCGCATTACCATTTCAAAAGCTGGTACACCCTAAACAAGTTAGTTTATAAACAGATTTACCAACAAAGATATGCAGTGTACTGGAGGGTTCTGCAGCGTACTGTACTGTATAGTATATTCAGTGGACTACAATGTACACTGCAGTGCAGTACATACAGTATATTGCACTGTACAATATTTACAGTGTACTGCAGTGTACAGAATATACGGTGTACAGCAGTGTACAGTGCACCGCAGTGTACAAAATATACAGTGTACTGCGGTGTATAGTTTATACAGATATTAGGTACTTTCCCAAGGGTTTTTTCCTAAGCGCCAACTTTCGAAGGGTATTTTCCCAAGTGGCAACTTTCCAAATGTTCATTTTTTTCAAGCAGCAACCTCCCAAGTCTGTCCTAGCCGCCGCGCTCGACCCTCCTGGCCGATCATAGCCGCAGCACTTGGCCCCTTAGTAGCCTACGGCGCGATAGAAGGCCCAACCGGGAAGTCGCCCTTTGGAAAATGCCTTTGAGAAAGTAACTAACATCGTTACCAACAAAGATGTACAGTGCACTGCAGTGTGTGGTATGTATAGTGTACTGCAGTGTACATTATATACAGTGTACTTCCGTGTACAGTCTATACAGTGTACTGCAGTGTACAGTATATACAGTGTACTACAGTTCACTGCAGTGTACAGTATATTACCTTATTACAAGCTGCACAGTACCCAGTAGACCCAAAAAGACGAAGATAATCTCTTTTACAGAGAATTAGGTTTCCCTTGGTATAAAGGGAGTGACCAACCTCCCCTAGTCTACAGTCACAACAGCCACATTTCAGGCAGTCTTCATGCCAGTACATATCTAGTGCCTAAATATAAATATAGATTATGTACAGGGTACAGTCACAACAGCCATATTTCGGGCAGTCTTCATGCCAGTACATACCTAGTGTCTAAATATATATATTATATAGTTTATGTACATTATACAGCGTATACTGTACAGTCAAAGGGTTAAATATCAAAAACATGTATTTATTTACAACTCTTATCATGAACAAACTTACTGAGCTTGCTCCGGCCATGGATTCTTGTAAAGTCGTCTTTGATTTGTATTATAATAATTTTAAGCTTTTGAACAGTTTAAAACAGATGAATGTTGTTTTAAATATAAATTTCTAAGATGTTATTGAACAAAATCAGTTCAAAGCTTTATTTTGATTATATCTTGATATAGCAAGTATATTATCAAAGAAGTATTACCTTGTGTATAGATAAAACTACTTACAGTATTAATAAAACGTTAACATATTTTTATACTACAGTACGTAATTATCAAACGATACAAACTATTTATTAGGTGAAGTTTTGGCAAGGTTGTAATTTTAAACTGTATAATAGTGGTTAATGGGACAAAAGACGTAATTTCAAGTTATAGATTGGAATGTCTGATTCACAAAGGTACCCTTGCTATAAATTCAAGAAAACCTAAGGTAAAAACAAGTAATGTAGAAAACTAGATCTATTCAGCCATTATGCATATGCACGCATTATGCATATGATTTGCCATATGCTTAAAAAATCATAACCATTTTGTATTATGATCAGGTTGTTTAACATATTACTTCAAAATGATTTTAACAGATTTAATATATCTTTATAATTAAAGTTTGTTGAGATATCAAGCCAAATATAGAAAACAAATATTTAAGACAATGAGAAATGGATAAGAATCTCTCCCCTCACTAACTTTTAAAAACGTTTACTATACCACCCAGGCCTTTCTTGATGTTCGTTTAAATCATTAGGCTTCACATAATATTATTATTATTATAGGATGATTTCGTACACAAAGGTAAAATGGTACAATATGATAAGACAAAAACAAGAATAAAGTATAATATATAAATATTGTTTCTAGTCTAATTTATAGTTAAGATTACATATAACAGAGAAACAGGAAGCCAACGCGAAAGCTAATATTTCTATTTTAGACGTATTATATGTTTACCCAGAAAACATGTGTTACAAAGTACAGTGAATCCAAGATATATGAATACAAAGCAAGAGTTTTTATAATGTCGTATTACATATTTAAGATAAAATGCCGCGGAAAAATGAGTTTAATATAGCCCTGAAATATGAACGCAATTGATATGTTAATATTAAACTCATTTTACCGCAGTATTTGATCTTAAATATGTAATACGACATTATAAAAAACTCTTGCTATGTATTAATATATCTGGGATTCACTGTACTTTTTCATAAAATCACACATTTTGAGTCAGGTTTTCCAACGCTAGTGTATTTTACTTGTGAACCATTTTATTCCGCAAAATTCCATCCAATTTCGCGCAAATTCCGAGCAGCGGTATTTCGATTGGAAAACCCTAATTTTGAGAAAATATCTTAAGATTGAAAAAAAACTAAAGGCGATGATTTATCATTCTCTTACAAATTTTAAAGAAAATTATAAATCTTTATCTTTAGTTTTTTAAAGGGCTCGAAGCGCTCTGAATATCTAGTTTATAATTACCATTAGAAGATGTTTTGAGACTATCTTCTTTCCGCATCCCCCACACAGCTTAGATTTAGTCATTCTAAAATTAAATCTGATTTAATTAAATTCAGGGGCGCTATATAACAGATATTTGTCGTGTGGGGGGGGGGGTCACCCTTTGTTTGGACCTAAAGTCTACTTATGCATGGGAGGGGGGCTACCCCAAAGAAAAAACCTCCCTTGGCCTTGTTTGCCGTGATTAAGTTAAATTATATTCGAAAATGTGCTTTTGTAGTTTTCTTTTGTCCTAAACTGTATTGTTGAAACAAAAATAGTTTATAAATTATTTAAATTTCAAAATGTCGACCATTGTTTACTGACCTATAGGAAAATGGAAGTGTATGGCGGGAATATTCGAATTTGCGGAGTTTCCAGATGTATGCCGGCTCCGTACACAACTCAAACTAACTCCGGTGGAACCTCTGGAGAATATTTGCCGCCAGGCGTGCCGGTACCTCTTCACCACTCAGACTATCCCGGTTAGACGTACCGGTATCTCTGGCTCATCAAGCCTTCTCCGGTGGATTTTAGTAGTCGGGGCGGTACAACACATTTTATTCATCTATTTTTTGTTAGTTTTTTTTTTAACATTACATCAGAAATATAATTGTCAAGATCATTGTATGGTTAAACTAAAATGTCTATTATTAAAATACGCCAAAATTTACGTGAAAAAACCCCCCAAAAATTGAAATGTTTTAGATTTTGTATTTGAAATGAATCCAAGAATGCCGCCAAATATTTAGCAAGTAAATAGATGGATTTTAAACAAAATAAAAACAATTTTTAGTAATAGAAGGGTGCAATTAGAATAGAGAATTACGAGAAGGGGAGGGGGTGCTTTTGGAATTTACCTTATTGGGTATTTACAATGAAAAAGGACACACATTTAATATATAAATTTATAATTGTTATCAACATGTCAAAGTTGATAAGAATGACAAATTATCAAATATCATTTTCTGCGCTTGGCAATATATTAAATCATGAATTATTATTTCAGAAATATAAAACCGAACAGTTTGGCAAAATTCGTTTTTTTGGATTTATTATTTTTAAATTTTCCATGTCCTAACAAAAATATAGAAATCATAAAATCAGATTTTGTGGCAAAAACTGAATTCCTTTAAGTTCCAAATTATTTAAAGATTCCAAAATTAAAGTTTGTGACGCGGGATAGTTCAGTTTCAAGTTCTCTTTATAGTTATCAAATTTGCAAAATATACAAAGTTTCTAAAGTCGATATTGTGAGTCAGCTTGTGTTCATGTTTATTCAACTTTTAAACAAACTTGTTCTCGATCTTGCCAGTCAGTCTTTATTCAAAAAAAAAAAAATTTGACAAGAGATAAACTAGGAACCAAAACTAAGGAAGTTAAACCAGGAACCAATATCAAGGGAAAAAACTAGGAACCAAAATCAAGAGATAACTTAGGAACCAAAATCAAGAGAGATAATTCATAAACCAGGAACCAGCATCAAGGTAAAAAAAACTAGGAACCAAAATAAAGGAAAATAAATCAGGAACCAAAATCAAGATAAACTAGGCAACGAAATCAAAGAAAAAAACTAGGATTCAAAATCAAGAGAGAACCTAGGAACCAAAATCAAGAAAAATAAATTAGGAACTAAAATCAAGGAAGTAAAACCAGGAACCAACATCAAAAAAGATATACCAGGAACCCAAATCAAGAAATATAAACCAGAAACCCAAATGGAGGAAGTTAAATCAGGAACCAAAATCAAGAAATAAACTTGGAACCCAATTCAAGGAAGATAAACCAGTAACCAACACCAAGGAACAAAAACTAGGAACCAAAATCAATTTTAATGAAGTAGGAACCTAAATAAAGGAAGAAAAACCAAGAACCAGATTATCTGTATAAAAAAGTTTGAACACTAAGTTTGTTTACATTCCTCCCTGAAATTGCAGTACACTTACATGTGTAAATAGAAATAAGACAGTTCCTGACGCAACTTCCTTGTGTATGGTGTAATGTATAATATGTGGTATATCTAGATTAGCTGATAGGCTGTCATACGAGTCACGTGCAATAACGGAGAAACACATAGAAAGACAGACAATTTGGTTGGATAGATAGATATACGCAATCAGATGAAATAGATAGATTGAAAGAACACGTGACCATCTTTTATCTAATTAATACAAGGAATTATTCAACAAACCAGCAATATCTGATATTAAACTTATCAAGGGATTATCGCAATGCGACCCTCCTGTTATAAAGTGGTCTATTTATGATTCACAATAGTACCCTGTAAATCTTAATCTTATCAATAATATCGCTGTATATCTATTCTCGTACAATTTCGTTATTATAGCAGAAAAGCGCAAGTCATTTTACAGAGTAACCACAACCGAAAACAATAAATTTTGTGATTAATAATAAAGATAGTTTATGCATTCAGACAAAGTTGTTAGAGAGAACCGTTGTAAANTTACAGAGTGTCCCATATCATATTAGATTATCTCCACAAGCTTTGATACAGTCCCTATTAAAACATTGCACAATGTACAGATTGACGTACACACATCAGGACTTACAGAGTATCCCATATCATATTAGATTATCTCCACAAGCTTTAACGCTAAAATAAAACCTTAATACTCGAAAAAAACTAGTAATTTCCGCAAGAAAATTCATATATTAGCCTTATTCAATTTTTCATTATGATTCTTTTTTCATAAATTTTCTGATTAGTCCCGAAAATAAAATTTAGACTGATTGACGATCTAATATGATGTGGGACACCCTGTAGTTATAGCCACAGAACAAGCCGGAGTTCCCGGAGTAGTGACAAGCCGGTATACATATCGTTGAAAAATACTCAATGCCGCAAAGTTTATGTAAAAATGCACAATGGGCTTAAAGAGAGAAAATATTTTTTTTTCCATATTATTACCGAGACAATAGTTCTATTTACACTCCCTCCCCGGAACCAAGTTGGACCTACACTTACATGGTGTCCCTCATCATATTAGATTGATAATCACTCTAAATTTCGATTTTTGGGACTTATCAGAAAATTTAAGAAAATGAATCATTTTTAAAAATTAAAAAAGGCTACTATAAGAATTTTCTTGCGGAAAATACTAGTTTTTTTCGAGTATTATGGTTTTATTTTGGCGTTAAAGCTTGGAGATATTCTAATATGATGTGGGACGCTCTTTACATTGTGGGGAGTTTTTGTAAAAACCATAATGTGCACAACATTTACAATGACCCCGAACTTTACAAATCGATTGATTGATTACTGAAAAATATGCACCTATATGCAGCGGCATGGTTAGTAAATCCCTTTCGAGCCACTTAGGCAGGGCGGTCCGCGTCAGTGCTGGTTCTATGCTACCTGTTGTGTGGTTATAAATAGTTTTTTAATAAAATATTATTATTTGGTTGTCACAGTGATATTCAATAGACCTACCCTCTTAGCCTCTAACTGCAAACTTATGTTATTTCTTGTTCCCTGTAAAAGTTCAAAACTTTTGACTCTTACTTAATCTAGATAAACACACTTGTAAAACTACTTGAAAAGATTAATTATAGATTTGAGATTTGTACAATCTGTAAAACCTACTTGTAATAACACCTCTCACCACTTTGTAGGAGATTACTCCCTCTACTTCCCTGTATACAAGAGTTTACTCTTCACTACTCCCCTGTATACAGGAGTTTACTCCCCACTACTCCCCTGTATACAGGAGTTTACTCTTCACTACTCCCCTGTATACAGGAGTTTACTACCCTCTACTTCCCTGTATACAAGAGTTTACTCTTCACTACTCCCCTGTATACTGGAATTTACTCCCCACTACTCCCCTGTATACTGGAGTTTACTCCCCACTACTCCCCTGTAAACAGGAGTTTACTCTTCACTACTCCCCTGTATACTGGAGTTTACTCCCCACTACTCCCCTGTATACAGGGTTTACTCCCCACTACTCCCCTATATACAGGAGTTTACTCACCACTACTCCCCTGTATACTGGAGTTTACTCCCAACTACTCCCCTGTATACAGGAGTTTACTCCCCAGTACTCCCCTGTATACAGGAGTTTACTCCCAACTACTCCCCTGTATATAGGAGTTTACTCCCCACTACTCCCCTGTATAAAGGAGTTTACTCCCCACTACTCCCCTGTATATGGGAGTTTACTCCCCACTACTTCCCTGTATACAGGAGTTTACTCCCCACTACTCTCCTGTATACAGGAGTTTACTCCCCACTCTTCCCCTGTATACATGAGTTTACTCCCCACTGATTCCCTGTATACAGGAATTTACTCCCCACTACTCCCCTTTATACAGGAGTTTACTCCCCACTACTCCCCTGTATACAGGAGTTTACTCTTCACTACTCCCCTGTATACTGGAGTTTACTCCCCACTACTCCCCTGTATACTGACAAACAAAGAGAATAGATTAGTAGGGAAAAACAGATTCACAACAGTACCCTGTAATCATAAACTGATCAACAATTTGGAGAATATCGTTGTTTATTTTGCTTAATCAATGTTTATTTCTCTTAATACTCTCTATTGTCTCTGAAGCAGAAATACGCAAGTCACGTGTGGAGAACAGTAAGAGATTGATCATAATAGTGAACAGAATGATATGAAAGATAGGATATTTAGATCCGGAGCATTCAGTTCGTAAGATTGACAGAAAAGGGTCTGTAAACGTAATTTCAAATAACCTTCCAACCAATTGAAGGATACCCGATTTACAACGTTACCCTTGGACATGTCTGATAAAGTATGAATAAGATATCAATGTTTTCGTTTTTTAACCCGTTCTCATTAGTGGTTTCTCTGCATAACATGACTTGCGCATTTCTTGAATTATAAGAAGCAATGAAGAAACTCACAAAAATTAACATATTGTTAGAAAAATCACTGTACATATTCCACATTTTTGATACGATTACGTTTTTAATTGTACTTTTGTGACTATTTCGGTGGGCCATTTGCAATTACGCTTAGAATCGATTTAAAGATAAAAATGTGAGAGTTTCTTCTAACTGCGTAACACTCAACTGTTTGGGTTCGATTAGTTTGGGGGATCAATAACGGTTAGATTTATCCCCGACTCTTCCGCTAATCCTCTTTAACAATACATACATTCCTGGGAACAAATCACAGACCAGGAGGGGGGGGGGGGGGGGGGAGTAACGAGTAAAAACAAAGATTTATTTAAATTTTTCTCAACTTTTCATTGGCATGGTTAATGAAAAAAACAAATTTATTTTGAAGGGTAACCAAATAAAACGAAAATTATAATGCTTTATTTCAAATTAATCTTTTTATACCCTTAGACAAACAAATTTGCTTTTTTTTCGATGCAAAAAGGTTAAGGAGTCACGATTAATTCATCTATCGATCGGGCACCAGTTTGTTGTGGAACCTAACATGACCCCAGGGAAGGTTTATGGAATATCAAAATTAAAGAGGACAAAAATCCTGCAAAAAACCGCCAAAATTTGAAAACGATTTAAATGAGACATTTAAAACCTAAAATTATTTACACTTCTAAAGCCTAGTACTGAAAAGTTCTTGAAAATTTATGGATTGTTGCAAATATCTTTATTGGAGAAAATTGCATACCTATTTTCTACATCTGTTAAAAGAAAGAAAATTTAAAAAAGGTAAGTTTATTGATTAAACATTTTATTTGAAGTTCATAATAATAAGTGCATACATAAAAAAGTACATAGTAGGTTTAGAAGTATTAGAATCTACTTCAATTGCATACATAAAAACCTGAACAATTTAGAAATTAAATCAAATTAAAAGTAATTAAAAAATTATTTTAACGGTCAATATGATAAAATCAAGATCAAGGATTTTTTTAGAAGTCAAATTGAGCAAATAAATTTGGTCTGATTCCGTTTTCCCCCGTCCCCTCCATCTCCTCTGTCCCCTCCATCCCCTCTATCTCCTTCTCCAACTTCTCTTCCACTGTCCGAACTAGAAGCCGTATACCCCGCCTCCCTTCCTAAAAGTTAAGTAATGCGCAATAAGTTGGTTTATTTTTGAGAGATTTAAAGGTTTAAACAAATCTGAGAAGTTTTAAAATTAAAAAAAAAAATGTTTCTTTTTAACAGTTGACAACTATGCCTAAGAGAAAATATTTGCAAATAACAACCCAGAAGCAAACCTCTGTTTAATAAAAGTTTTAAAAAAGCAAAAGAATACAGTTTTGAAATTAAAATTGCATTAAAAGTTTCATAAACCAAACACAGGCGAGTAATTCAAGCTTACCTATAATCCGCATTGGCAGTTGTTAACCCCGTCTCTTGATCCACTGAACATATTTCTCATCAATTATTAATTTCCTAAAACATCTTTGCTTTTTTAACCGATCGATTTTTTTCAAAACTTTTAAAAGAACCAGTTGAAAGTAAGACATTTTGTAATATCAGCCGATTCTATTTTTGAATGTAGGAGCAGGATATGTAATTAGATTGTCGATATACATCTCTTCCGAGAGACGTGGAACCTGTCATCTCCAGCACTGTGATACTTAAATACCCCAAATAGATATAGACTCCTAATGACACCTTAAACCACGAAAAAACATTAAATTTGTTTTCTTAAAAAAGTGTTTTTTTTTCATTGACACATTCTAATCAAAATCAAGGCCAGGTCAGAGGCAATGGAAGTCACTTTTCAGAGTTTCCAAGTTTCCGGGAAGAGATATCGACAATCTGATTTCATATCCTGATTTCTGTTCCTTGGCAATTCTACGAGTCTACCATTAAAAAATTGTAAATATTTGCAAGTTTGCAACGGGGGTTTAAAAACCAGCTTCAGCTGAACAGAAGGGTAGAACATTTTGTCATTTATTCCAGTATTCCATCTTCTATGCCCGATAAGTTAAAATAAAAAAAATAAAAATTAAACTTAGAAAAAAGCGAGCGGAGATCTATTTTTCAGAAGAACTAGAGAAAAAAAAACATAAATAGTAAAGAGAAAAAAAACTAATATAAATCGATATAGGTCTATAAAGAATAAAGATCCAACTTTAAGGGCTTTCCTTAATAATTAAAGAATTTGGTTAAATTAATTAAACAATAGAAATAAAATCGTGGACGGTATTCATCGGCTTGTTCAGATACCAATATCGATTAATTTCTATAATGATTATTTTCGGTTATACAAATAGTTTTTCTTTAAATCTTTTTTTCTTCTCATAGCTAAAAGCTTACCATTAAAAAACAAACTCTTATTCTTAGAATAGCTGGGATGCAAAAATACCACTAGAATAATTTTTTAATTAACTAAAGTTGTCATCGATTACAGCATTACAATGTAGACCTTTTCAAATTACAAGTTTAGAAGGGAACAAAGACAAGCTGTTTAAATGTTTAAATGTTTCTGTTGTTTAAAAGCTTCATAGAAATCAAAATTGAAAAAGAAATAGTCTTAAATTTTATTGATATATACGTCGACTACTCTAATGGAAGAAATTAGGATAAGAGATGAGAAAAATTCCTAGAATAGCTTGTACTGCAGAACCCCCCGTGGGAAAATAGGTTAGATTGTGCCCGATAGATGTCAGCTCTTTCAGCATCCATCTGAGTAGAGGAAATATCAATCATTAATTATTAATTGATTCCAAATATGCATTAAAAGATTATTAAAATACTTGATTAAAAATATTTATCGATTCAGATAATAAAAAAATATATTTAATCGGCTTTTAATTATATAAATTTTCAGCAAGATTTTAGAATTTTATTTTTCGTTTTCAAACTTCTCTAATGTTTATGTTATGAATTTTTTACTATTTAAGACCATCCTGACTCCTGATCTAGAGCTAGGGACCAACCTGGAATTCCCTTCCTCATACCATAATTCCATTGGGAGTAGCTGGTGATGTAATCTTAATCAAGAAAAATAAGATTAGGAGAAATTAAGCAATTTAAACCTCACATGCATAAAGCTTGAGCCTTAAACATTCCAAAAGTTAAGTCCAAAAATTGTAAAAAATATTTATATTTATATTTTATTTTGACAAATGTTAGCACATGACATACACACATGTTGTTTATTACTTTTTCTTTTTTCAAATATCTGAATTTTTTGAATGATTTAAATTTCATCGACCTATCTCTGTGTCAAGTCTAACATGGTAGTTTTAAAAATTAGAGTAAAACACTAAAAAGGGGGGGGGGAGCCCGGAGCTTTACCCCCCTTACCAATCTTTTAAGGGTTAAATTATCAATATCTAAATAAGTACCTGGGTGCATCTATAGCATCTTTCACATTTTGTCCAAGATAAAGAGTTCGTAGCAAAACCTTAAAAAATAATTCAAATAAGAAAAAAATATTAAAGGGCCTGTCAATGTGATTTCAAGTGGCCTCCAATGGAAAGAGGTGTATACGCCCGACTCACAAACATACCCTTTAAACTTTATCTGAGATTCACAAACATACTCTTTATACTTTATCTAAAATAATTACACCTTACAACAAGATAGAAAAGCGTTATCATCTTTCTAATTGTCAGATTTTACAGGAAACTTATGGTGGCTCATTTGAACTTTCAACCACAGTCCTTTTTATTTTAACAGCATCATTCTTGTTTGTCCCTTTAAATGAAACAAAATCATGATTGTTTGTCCCTTTAAATAAAATAAGATCAGGATTGTTTGTCCCTTTAAATGAAACAAAATCATGATTGTTTGTCCTTTAAATGAAAAAAAATCAGGACTGTTTGTCCCTTTAAATGAAACAAAATCAGGATTGCTTTTCCCTGTAAATGAAATAAAATCATGAGTGTTTGTCCCTTTAAATGAAATTAAATCAGGATTGTTTGTCCCTTAAAATGAAATAAAATCACGGTTGTTTGTCCCTTTAAATGAAACAAAATCAGGATTGTTTTTCCTTTTAAATGAAACAAAATCAGGATTGTTTTTGTCCCTTTAAAATGAAAAAAAATCAGGGTTGTTTGTCCCTTTAAAAAAAAATTCAGGATTGTTTGTCCCTTTAAATAAAACAAAATCAGGGTTGTTTGTCCCTTTAAAAAAAAATTCAGGATTGTTTGTCCCTTTAAATGAAACAAAATCACGAGTGTTTGTCCCTTGAAATGAAACAAAATCAGGATTGTTTGTCCCTTTAAACAAAGCAAAATCAGGATTGTTTGTCCCTTTAAATGAAACATAATTAGGATTGTTTGTCCCTTTAATTGAAATAAAATCATGATTGTTTGTCTCTATAAACAAAACAAAATCAGGATTGTTTGTCCCTTTAATGAAACAAAATCAGGTTTTTTTTTCCCTTTAAATAAATGAAAATAATGATTGGAAAAATTGTATTATTCACCTGGGCAACAGCGGTTATAATTTTAGTTCCTCCACTGGCTCCAGCTTAAAAAAAAATCAATTTAACTTAAAAAATAAATTTAGAAAATGTGTTTAAAAATGGCAAATTTTGGATATCTGAAGATTTTGATATTTTTTAATTCAAAAGGTAAAATCAAAAATCCCATAACAATTTCACAACTTTTTATTGAAACCACAAAGAGGGGCTTAAATAACCCAGCATAGATATTTAGTACAGGGATTGTGATATATAGTACAAGAATTGTAAGTGTAATTTCAAGTCACCCTCCAGGTAAAAATGCCCAATCCATAGCGTTACATTTAAAAGCTTTTTTCTAATCAAGTTTAACTTAGATATCAATGTTGATTTTTTTAAAAACTGATTATTTTTGAAAAAAGAAACGATATCTTCCATTGGATTGGAGGTTAATGTTGTGAATCGGACATTGCCATCCTTGCAGCGAGGGTTACTAGGAAATAGGCTTACATTCCTTTTAAAATTTTCAAATACACCTAGGTTTGATGGTTCTTTGAAACTCTTCAAAAATAGAACAAAAATATCAATTCATGCGCAATTGTAGCCAATTCTGTTTTTCTTAGGAAAATGGTAACATATCTATCTTTTGTAAATAAAAACAATTATTAACTAACCTACTGCAATGACTCTACCCTCACTATCTAGTACTATAGTTGTACTAATAGAAGACATTGGTCGTTTACCAGGGTGGATAAAGTTATTCTCAGATGGGCGCAGTTTATAAGCACTCACTAAAATATAGAAATAGTTTATTAGAGAGAGAAAAATGATTAATTTAAGAAATGGTGTGTTCGTGCAGAAATAATAAGGGTAAATGTGGAATTTAAAGCATGACGTCATACTTCTAGGATATTCGAGGCACTTGGAATTCGGTTTTTGTCAGTCCAATAAAATCAGTTTATATCTGAAGCCTTTAGTCTTTGTTTTAAACTACGAATACAACACGACCTATTTTGCCAAAAAAGATATTCCTGAAAGCCAGTTGGTTCAATATATGAGATGTAATTGTGAGGATAAGATGAGTTTATTGTTTAAAAAATACTAGGTTTCAAGAGGATGAGAAAGTTAGTTATTACGTAGACAGAAGAGATTTAAGTTTAACATAAATAATATTTGACGTCAGTCGTAAATCCTTCTGATTTCATTTTATACGAAAAGAACTGAAACTCTTGTATTGTGATATCGAGATCAATGCTTGATTTAATTCGATATCCGCAGTGTACTGGTACCATGAAGGGATAACTGAAATTCAGAGATTAAGCAATAAGCATTGATTCACAACTTAAAAGTTCCCACTGAGGATATCAGCATCAACTATCAAGCGATCAGAATTATGAGTATCCAACGCACATGTTCCTAGCTCCGGCAATAGTAAATTAATGATCTTCTAAAGTTTATGATATAGCTTTAGTCGCAAATTCCTAAATTCAAAACCGTTAAATATATATATACTAGCTTGGGAACCCAGCTTTGTCTGGATTTCCCCTATAAAAATCAACCGACTCGACATTCCTGTGGTTCTCCCAATCAAAATTTTTACAGTTACAGTTACAGACAAACAGAGATTTCTACTTTATACGTAAGTACAAGATATAGTTATTGAAAGTGGGCAATTCCTCTAGCCTACCTATATTTGGACTGGCAAAGTCGTCCATCTGATTATTCATGATGATTCCTGTACTTCTTGACAGATATTTACAACCATATATGAGATTGATAGAAGCTGTTACTGATACTGCATTCCCCTCAGGGTCTAAACTTAAATTACATTTAGGAAAATTAGTTGAGTCAACTTTAGAGAAAATTTTAGCGCAAAACTTCAATCTGTATAACCTATCTGTGGAGATTCAAAGTTAATGTTGTCAAATCATTTTCCAGTATCTCTGTAGTTATGAATATTTTATTAAACTAGACAAACGTTGTGCATTATTGCATTTCCCCAAACGGCTAGTTTTTTGATAATAACTTAGTTCAAAATTTCTTAAAATTAAATTAAAAGTTTTTTTTGCACATAAATTACTGACAAAAAAATACAGTGCAATATAATGAAAATTAAAATTCTCTAGAATAGAAAAAACATTTAACCTTTTATGTTGATAAAAAAACGGAAAAAATGCCATTTAAAAAAAATATTAATTTTACTTATCATGAATTCTTTGTAAGTTTGAAGGATATTTTATAAATAATAAGGTAAAAACCAAAGATGACATTAACCTAAGAAATTCATATGACATGTTCCATGATCTTCGGTTGGAATATAGGAAGCTCCATAATGTGCTGGATCTCCAGAAGTCTGGTCGTCAACTATAACATTTCTAAACAAAGAATCAATGTTGGAATATATATGCAATTTCTTTTTTTTTGAATAAATTTTCTATTAAAATTTTAAAAGAGAAATAACAATACTACAGCAAAAAAAGTTGAAACTTTATGATTAAGTCAAACCCGCCTTACACAAAAAAATAACTGTTTTAAAAACATAAAGATTAAGGGGCTAGGAAACAAATTCAACACGGGATAGGGGAGCAGGGGATAAACATTTCTTTGTTCAAGTCAGATTTTATGATTTGAGAAACTCGGGATTTAGAAATAAGCCTTGTTCTAATTCTTCAACAGATCTATGGATTGTTTTAATCCCTTGTCGGTCTCTGCAATCCAATCCAATGATATCCGAAGTTGACTTTTTAAAAATATATTCTTCTAAATAACTTACTTGATATTTTCAATCCAGTTTTCACTGGTTAGCTCCTCTACTAAACTGTGAACCTCATGGCTAAATTTTAAAAAAATTATTAAATTAAACTGATTCTCATTTACTTGCAGAGTTGTGGTTGACAGATGAGTTGGATTGAAAATCCCCCAAAATAAGAGAAATCCAACCCCAAAAAATCCCGCAATGTAAATTTTTAAAATCCCAACAAAATCCTCAAAAAAGAATTAATAAAAGCACCACCAGAATAACAATTTCAGGTATCCTATTTTCTCCACTAGGTAATTTGCCCTCTAACTTCTCAATTATACATATAATTTCATAATTCATTGTATCTTTCCCACATTTCCTACTCAAAAACTTAATAGTATCTTTTCCACTTTTCCAGCTCAAAACAGAAGTATTTGCCTATCCCCAAATTAGTTTGGGATATTCCCAATGGGTTGTTCACTTACATATTTGAAAAGGATAATGGCGAAGCATTTTTGAATGTCCAAATCATCCGCCAAAAAATTTATTTAGAACCAGTTTAAGTGGAACCAACCATATTTGAGCCACGTCTCAAATTGAAGCCATGGCTCAAATTCTTTAAATTCGGCCTCTGGGTTTGGAAATAACTGAATTGGAGAGAGGTCACTGAATTACCTACCGCCTGGTTCAATTTCTCAATCACTTATTCAGAGATGAGCTAACGATTCATATGGATCTGAATCCGTGATCCGGGATGTGTAACGCTCAGTGGAAGGTAGTTTAGCGACCCCTCCAATTCATTAAATTCGATCCCTGGTTTAATGATGATTTACAACCTAATTATTGATTAGCTTTTGTAGATGCTCTTCATGCTTTCTTTTTATTGTTGATAAGTTTTTACGATTTAATAAACTTACCTGTGTACATAAATTCATTTTAAAAAAAGTGAAGAACCCCTTTAATTACGAAAAGAAATTATTAAATTTACCTTATTTTATGCCCGTCGCTTGAAAAAGATAAAATAAGTAATGTGTAATGTCTAAATAAATATTATTGGGATTTATAAAGTTTCAAGTTAACAGGACTGTAGACATAATTTTACGTGACCCTCATTAGTAAAAGTGGCGAGTCCGATTCACAACAGTACCCTTAACCCCTAAATCTGATCAATATTGTAAAAGATCACGTCATTTTCCTGGCTTTAAAAAAGATAACAATTTTGATAATTTTGCAAGAAAATCTCTTTAGAACCCACCAAACCAAAACACATGAATATCTAATTCTTTCTTGATCAGACACTTATCAGTGTACGATTGTGAGTTTGAAAATTTATTCGTAAAACTTCTTATTCATGAATAGAAATGTACCTTGTTGCTTTAAAGCTCCAATCTGCTAAATGAGTTTTCCGCGCAAAACCAAACTTCGAAGCTTCAGCAAACCTAGAAATAATTAAATATAGAACTGTATGCGTAAAATTATTTCATTTAAAAGATCAGTCTCAGAAGGATGATTTGATCTTTGCCAGGGTTATGAAGATCAAAAAAAAGGATAATTTACCTATGCCAGGTGTTCTTAGCCTTATAAAGATCAATTCGATCAAGATTATTTTACCTATGCCAGGTTTTGGCCTTGTGAAGATCAATTGGAGCAAGATTATTTTACCTATCACAGGTTTTAGCCTTTAGGGGATCAATCAGAGCAGGATGTTTTTACCTAAACCAGGTTTTGACCTTGAGAAGATCAATTGAAGCTGGATTTTCTTACAGATGTCAGGTTTTGACCTTGAGAAGATCAATTGGAACAGGATTATCTTACCTATTCCAGGTTTTTGCCTTGTCAAGATCAGTTGGAGAAGGATAAATTTACCTATGCCAGGTTTTGGCCTTGTGAAGATCAATAGGAGCAGGATTGAAAAGATCCATGATACCAAGGATTGCAGCTGTGATCGCTCCACTGCCAGGAGGAGGGGATGTTACAAGGGTCAAACCCTTATTCTTCAACTAAACCAAAAATTAATTAATTTTTTTTATTTCTGGCCTTATTGCATATTAATTTAAAAACAAGAAGTATGATCAAGGGTTTCCAAGTGGTTTTTATTTTCGCGCTATTGCAAGCTCAGTGATTCCACTCCAAACAATTTGAACCTGATTCTGCATGAAGAAATTCCGATTGGAAACTTTAGGTATGATGGTATCTAAGGCCGGAAAAAATTAAATGTTCGAAGAAGTTCAACAAGTCATGGATATATGGATGTAATAACTTTTTTCACAATCTGCCTGTGTAATACTTTCCCTTCTTAAATGGACTGAGCCTTTAAAAATTAAAATACCACATTTACACTGTAAACGCCAGGAAGATAAAATATTGAAAAATTTTCCTCGGAACCGTTTACTACTGGGAATTCTTGCACAAAAGGTTTACTGTACTTTGGACCGGAACAGATTTGACATGATAATTAATAGTTGGATATGAATTTTCACCAAGAAAATTATATTTTTTAAATATAATAATTACCTTAAAAGAGATCGGCTCATCCCACACAACCTTGTAATTCTTCAAGTCCTAAATATATATTTGTTTAATATTTTTTCTTTACACTTTGGTCCCATTGCTTTATTCAAAATCCACTTAAACGGAAAATTTCAAGCTAAAAGATTTTGAAGGTTTAACAGTAGACTTTTTGTGAGATGTCAAGTATACCCCTATGATTACAAAAAATTCAATTAAAACCCCCTGTCCCCTAACATTTAACCTGAAAACCTTAATCTGATCAAAAATGTGGAAGATACTGTCGTTTTTCTGGCTCGATAAGTGTTTATTTCCGTAAATTTCTTCTCAGCAAGAAACGCAGAGAACCCGGAAATGAAAATTAACAGTTTAAAAAATGCATATCTAATTTTAACATGATCAGACAAACTTTCAAGGGTACAGTTGTAAATCGGACATTGCCATTTACTTACCTTTAGTGTAATTATCCCACCAGCATCTTTTATATCTTTAGCTAGTAGTTCACCAGTCAAACCCCCATATAGCTCACTAGCTCCATTTCTAGGTAGATGATAGCTTACAACTCTATTTTAAGGTAGATAATTGCTTATTAACCCTATCTCTGCTGGGGTACTTGAAAACCAGGATATGCTGGGGGGGGGTCAATTTGGGGGGCAAATTGACCTCTAAATCCCATGTTTGACGTCCAAATATGACAAATGACACATCATTGGAAAGCTGTTGTGCTCTACTTTTAGAATCTGCAAAAAAATGTGCAAATTTGCAAAAATTGAATTTTTTATCGCAAAATCCAGTTATAAAGTAAAAATGTTTTCAAAAAAAATTTGTCTAAAAACTGAATAAATTATATTTTTTTGAAAAGCCCTTGACCATGCCATTTCAAATATGCAAAAATTTGCAAAATTTTTTAAATAACCTGATTTTTAATCAAGAAAAACTAAAAATGTGCAAATTTCCTTTGACAGGTTGTTTGCAAAAAATTTGCAATTCTTTTTCACAAAAAATGTGCAGCTCGTTTCCTTATGTCAAAGGGTTTCCAAAAAGCTAAATTTTATTAAAATCTGACAAGTGGAATTGGGTCAAAACAAAAATTTAGTTTGTTACATGAAAAAGCAGTCATTCAGGCAGTGTTGCCTGAGGACTCAGGCAGTTAGTATTAAAGTCCGGTTTTCGGCCTAAAGGGAGGGTTTTGGGTATGTAGGAAAAGTCAGAAAATTTCAACAGCCTCAGACCAAAACTTTTTGAGTTATGTAAAAAAAAAACTAAGGGGGGGGGGGTTAGGAATAGGATTAACTTCATTTTTAGGTAGATAACAGCTTACTAACTCCATTTTTAAGTAGATAATAACTTCATTTTTATGTAGATGATAACTAACTAACTACATTCCTTGGTAGATAATAGCATATGAACTCCATTTCTAATTAGTTATAGCTTACTAACTCCATTTTTACTTATTCAAAGCAACAGTGGTGGACGCTCCCTTTAAGGAATAAAACAAGATAATGACAGATAGACAATTTAATGTTAGGTATTTTCCCAAAGACTTTCTCAAGGTTTTTTTCTATGTGGCAACTTCCCAAATGTGCAATTTCCCAAATGTACATTTTCCCAAACTGTTACTTCCCATGTCTGTCCTAGCCGCAGCGGTCGGTCCTCTAACCCATCCTAGCTAAAGTGCTCGGCCCCCATTGCAGCTTTTGGCGCATCAGAGGCCTAACCTACCCTTTGGGAAGTTGAAACTTGTGAAATTTCTAATTTGGGAAGTTGCCACTTGGGAAATTGTCAGTTGGAAAATTGTCATTTGGGAAGTCGCCTTGGAATAATGCCCTTAGAAAAATACCGATAATAAATTCTTACAAGGCAATTCTCTCCAAGGTTCTTCCTAGCAAAGGAAATGTATACACCTCTCCTTCTTTTCTAATATCCCCAGTTTTCTAAATACAATATGGATCAGAAAAAAATACTTGAAAACAAATGTAGGACTTCACATTACCCCAGAAAAGGTTTATGAAGGCCAAAATTGCAAAAATTTGGGTCCAAAAGTTTTTGATCTTTGTAAAATTTTAAAATTGCGCGAAAATATAGTATGAATCCACGAAACATTTTTTGATTTTGATTTATATTTCGTAAATATGCTCACAGATAGAGCCACAGTTTAAAGGTGAACTAAAAGATGAGCGCAAATCGCACTAAAAGCCTAGTGTTTTAAAAGACCCAAATAAAAGGCTCAACACTTTTTCTTCAAACAATGACTATAAAGTATTAAATAAAAATCAAAACCTTGCTAAAAAATATATCCACTAGGCCAGGATCCCTTTTCATGCTTCCTTTTACCTAGGAATATTAACAGTATGTTCAATCAACGATTAAAAATATAAAATTCATCCAAATAAATATTTCTTAAAAGCTTCAATTAAAGAATTTCCTATCTGTATATTTTTGCAAACTGAAAGTGGAAATCTTTGATATTTTATACTTTGTCCATTTGATCTTTTAGACATTGTAATGCAATATACACAAACTCATCCTTAAATGTAAACAGGCTACCAAGGGTATGACAACTATATAAATAAAGATTGAGGAGACTTTTCAGTTTCTAATAAATATCAAAAGTAAAATACTTCCTTAAAATTTACCTTATGACCAAAAAACACTGCATGCTGGTTTGTTGTAATTCCGTTAAAGCAAAGATCTATTGAAGGCTCAAGCAAACTAAAAGAAATCAAATTTTTGAAGATATCCAATAGTGTTTTTGTCACAAACTCTGATTATATAATCCCAATAACATTGCAACCCAATGTCGTAGACCTTAGATATTTCAAACTAAGAATTCTGTTAGATCAAAAATTTTAAGCTTGAGATATTAAAGGATCACATCAGATCAGGTTCCAATGATATAGGGATTAGAAAATGTGGTAAACGTTTCAACTGAAAAGAGAAATTGTACTGAATTTTTTTTTTTCATGTACGCAGATTTTCTGGTTTAAAATTTACAAAACAAAATTTGTGCCCATGTCGTTATGGCCAGCAGCTAACAAACAGCAAAGCTATAAATATAGTTTTAATCATAACCAGTGGCGGTAAGAAGATTTTTTTAATCTCCAAGTGCGGTGCTTAAGGGGTCTGTAAGCATGACTTCAAGTGCCCTTACAAACTTTGTCTGAATTGAAGATTTTAAAAACTGATTATTTTCTGTTCTGGTTTTTTTACAAAATTGAACTGCGGCATTTAACAGCTTTGGAATTTATCAGAATTATCTTTTACATCTAGAAAAACGACAATATTGACCAGTTACAAGTTTCAAGGGTAGCGTTGTGCCCATTGTCATCTTGGTCACATGAAATTACGGTTTAGTCCCTGGAACTCCCGTTGGAGCTAAATATCCCTCTTTGAATTTATTTCTCAGTGACAATTATGCACAGTAATCCCCTAGCCTGTATACGCCCCTAATCTTGACTAACCTTCTCCATGATATATCTGGGTTCCCTAGTCTATTTTTTAGTTCCCAGGTTCCTGCCACAAACCCTGGAATACCCGAAGACAGTGGCCCAAAATGGGTCAGGTTCGCGTTTCCTCTTAAAATGAAAAACATAGGTTAATATATTTCATCCGCATTCAGTTGATAGATAAAAATCAGCAGCTATAAACTTTTTTTTAAAGGACAGTGGCCCAAATTGGGTTATGTTTGCATTGCCCCTGAAATGAAGATACATGGGTTTTGAACAATTCAAAAATATCTTGCATCAGCATTGAGATAAAATCAGAAACTCCATGCACTTAAGCTGTAGAAAGCTTATTTTTAAAAAAGGACATTGGCCTTAAATGGGTCAGGTTCGGGTTGTATGGCTTTACAAACAATTTTAAAAATAATAAATTAACTAGACAGACGGAGAAGGTAACATTTATGCGACATCACTGGAACAACTTTGTGACCTACTAGCTCCTCCAGTTCTGATTTTACGCGTAAATTAGAGAAGATCGCTACATATTTGAAATACTTTTCAATGGGTCTTTAATTAGAGTTATTATGATTGAAAACATAAGATTACAATCTCAACTGCAACTAACATTATTTTGAAATGAACTGTTTATCACAAAAAAATTCAGTTAGTTTGATGTAAAATCAGGAACTATTATCAATTTGCAAAAAAAACTAAATTCTAATTATCAAATCTATAAAATAAATCTATAAAGCTTAAAATAGTAGTACACCTTAATAAAAGACAGAGCTGTACACAGGGGGAAGGGCTATGGGGGCTAAGCACCCCTGGACCAGTAAATTTTATGGTTTCCAGGTTTAGAATAATATTCAGGGCTAGTCTAAATATCATTTATCTATTGGAATAATATTCAGGGCTAGTCTAAATATTATTTATTTATTAGAATAATATTCAGGGCTAGTCTAAATATATTATTATTGGAATAATATTCAGGGCTAGTCTAAATATAAATTATTTATTGGAATAATATTCAGGGCTAGTCTAAATATCATTATATTGAAATAATATTCAGGGCTAGTCTAAATATCATTTATTTATTAGAATAATATTCAGGGCTAGTCTAAATATCATTTATCTATTGGAATAATATTCAGGGCTAGTCTAAATATTATTTATTTATTAGAATAATATTCAGGGCTACTCTAAATATATTATTATTGGAATAATATTCAGGGCTAGTCTAAATATCATTTATCTATTGGAATAATATTCAGGGCTAGTCTAAATATCATTTATTTATTGAAATAATATTCAGGGCTAGTCTAAATATCATTTATTTATTGGAAAAATATTCAGGGCTAGTCTAAATATCATTTATTTATTAGAATAATATTCAGGGCTAGTCTAAATATCATTTATCTATTAGAATAATATTCAGGGCTAGTCTAACTATCATTTATCTATTGGAATAATATTCAGGGCTAGTCTAAATATCATTTATTAGAATAATATTCAGTACTAGTCTAAACATTATTTATCTATTAGAATAATGAAGTAATAAAGATTGTTTTTATCCCATTTTTAAATAATAAAAATTTTTGGTGGGGTTTTCGTGAAAAATCTACAAAGTCTTACTCAAAAATTAATTTTCAAATAATTTCTTTTTATAAAGTTATGAAAAATGTTGGCTGTGAAAGAAAATTGTTATAGATAATAGCAAACTTACAGAGATTGCAATTATTGCATATTTTTGTGGAGTGCCCTAAAAAAAACCTAACAACCCCGAATGTTTGATACATGGATGAAAATGAGGCCCAACTCTTACAACAGCTATACTCTAAAAAAGTTAATAAAAACTTTTTCGCCATTGATAAAGAATAGCTTTCTTGGGAAAATTGATAATACTGCTTCCAAAACAATGGTAACGATTAAAACCTTTTTCAAATTAAAATTGTACCTTGTTCCATTCTTGAGAGTCATAACCATTATAAACCCTCCTCCCAGTCCCATACTTTGAGAGTTCACAACTAAAAAACAAGGTATATATTTAATTGTTGATATTTTCTTAAAATGAAATACTTCATTCAATTCCGATTTCTTTCTAAAGTTTTTTTTTAGAACTTTATCGGTCGATAGATTATTTGAATTTTTACAAAATTAATTCTTTTAAGGAAAATAATAAGAAGAACCTCTATACCTAGAAACCCCGAGATTAATCCAATCAATCAATTAAGCAATCTATGGTGTTTGATCAGAGACTTAAAGCATGACCCTCAATGCACAGATAACTTCATGTATATAAGTCATAATTAAAACACTGTTTCTTTGTAAGATTTATTAAAGGATAAGTTTAGGGAGTGTTCGCAATGAATGATGGGGGTTGGGGTAAAGGCTAAAGTCGAATCGAATTTGACAGATAGAAGTAAAATCAGTAGCGATCACCATCGAATTCTATTCAACGTTAGCGACATAATTACCGTGACAGCGCGTGCGGTATGAATAGTATGAGATTAGTGCTCCCGTATCACATTATTTTAAAACTAAGATTTAAAGAATAACTCTAAAAATGAAGGGTCACTTTAAATTGAGAAGAAAATGATAAAATTCTTTATTAAGATTATTAAATAACGTCGACATAAAACGTAAAAAGTTCTACAATAAATTAGAGAAGTCATGTATAGGAACATGTTGAGAAAATGAAAATTAATCTTATCATCGAAAATAAGTAATCTTGTATCCACCCCCAAAGTAGGAGTTTTGAACGTCGAATATTTCGCTCAAAGTCAGGATTTACAGATCTTTAAAAAATTTAATATGTCTCAAATGAATCCGAAAGAAGTTTTCCACAACACTGCATACTCAGTTTAACTACCTTACATTGCCGGTCACTTCCTTTAAAACGATCTAAACTTAAGTTACATCTGTGTCCCAATTAAATGAATTTGAGCCGAGTCTTGAATCCGACAAAACCGGTTTTCATTGAAGGCCGGATTAAATCTTAAAACCAACCATATTTAAGCCGCTTCTCAAATTTAAGCTGCGGCTCAAATTCTTTAAATTCGGCCTCTGGTAGTCTGTTATTGTTTTTATTTTCTTATTACAGAATGAGAGTGTAGAAGACGACTTGAAACTCTTCAAACATGACGATTCAAAGTCTTCTCTCTTAAATGTGAATTTTAAATGGCTTATTCAATGATTTGTCAAAGTATGACAGAAGATTATAGTTTCAGGGAATTATGAATATAAGGGAACAGACATGCAGTCTTGTCTCTGCAGTCCCATCCTTTGTGGGTAACCCTGCATAAAACTACCTGAATTGCAGTACATACTGGCTACAGCAGCATCAAAAGCATTGCCGCCCCGTATCAGTACATCATTACCAATCTAGAAATTGTTATTTATAAGATACGTCTTGAAATATTAGAATATTATAAGTTTACTAGCTAAAGTGCCCGGCGTTACTTGTGGGAACCGATGGGTTCTCTAAAATGTGTCTTCTGCCCATTCGGTCCATGGTTGACATACATGTCTATATCTATATATAAATTTGGCTTGTCTGTTTGTCTGTTTGTTTGTTTGTCTGTTTGTATCCAATAAACGTCAAAACGGCTGAACCGATCGGGCCCAAAATTTTTTGTGGGACATCTAGGGACCCCAGGGAAGGTTTATGAATGATCAAAATTTCAAATATTTGTCTCCATCAAAATTCGATCGTCTTTAAATTTTTTAAAATTTTGAAAATCCACGAAATTTTTTGTAAAAATCCGCGAATTATTTTTGTTTTGTTTTACGATGTACACAAAGAGAACATGTACACAATTGATTTAGAAGATGGGCGCGAAGCGCCCTCTAAGGCTAGTATATTTATAAACTAGCCGAAGGGCCCGGTATTGGCCTTAAAAAAATTTCGAATTTTTAGCCTAAAACATCCCCCGGCCATCCATGAGTGTCCACAAAAAATTTCAGCCCAATCGGTCCAGCCATTTAGCCGGCTATACACATGGGGATGTTGCAGGGACGTTAAACGCACAGTTTTTTACGTCCTCGCGACAAGCTTTTGAAGTCCAAATGACCAAACTTTTGACGTCCACATGACCAAACATTTGACGTACATACGACCAAACTTTTAACGAACAAATGACCAAACTTTTCATACACATTTATCCTACACTTAATCACAGAATATACACAACATATATTTATACAAATGTCTTCTTTTATTATATAGATGAGCCAAGAGCTTTTATCCATATTTCATCCCAATACCAGTTAAACCAATTTCAACTTAAAAATGCTTGCAAAGTTGCTGTAGAAAGCTCATTCTCACTTCGTGATCCGTAACATATGTTTTATCTTAGTAAAAGAGCTAAAATGTGTATATTTGACACGCATTTGCAAATGAATGTTTAAACAAGTGTCGCATCTAAATATTTGTCTAAAAAATATATATTTTCTTTTGTACTTTTAAAAGTTTATTCTGTTGAGGCCTTGAAAAAGTGAACTATTAACATGTCCGCGTGGACTATTAAACTATCAACTCTAAATAATAAAGCTCTTCACTCTTATATATATTATATTTGTATTTATTTGTAAATTTGTATAGATATGTAACAAATGCCTTACTCCAACATATTCATTCAAGTACCAATCCAGGTATAACCTTCTGTATCCATCAGTATCTATTAATCAAGATACCACCTCTGTATTTGTCAGTATCTATCACTTGAGATACAACCACTGTATTTGTCAGTATCTATCACTTGAGAGTTGAGATACAACCTCTGTATCCGTCAGTATCTATCACTTGAGATACAACCTCTGTATTGGTCAGTATCTATCACTCGAGATACAACCTCTGTATCCGTCAGTATCTATCACTTGAGATACAACCTCTGTATCCGTCAGTATCTATCACTTGAGATACAACCTTTATATTGGTCAGTATCTATCACTCGAGATACAACCTCTGTATTTGTCAGTATCTATCACTTGAGATACAACCTCTGTATCCGTCAGTATCTATCACTTGAGATACAACCTCTGTATCCGCCAGTATCTATCACTTGAGATACAACCTTCATTTTGGTCAGTATCTATCACTCGAGATACAACCTCTGTATTTGTCAGAATCTATCACTGAAGATGCAACCAATATATTTGTCAGTATCTATCACTCGAGATACAACCTTAGTCTGTATCAATTCAGAAACAACACTCTCTGTATTTCTTAGTCTGTATCTATTAATCGATACAAAAAAATCACTCTCTGGTTCTCTCCATGAGAACTAATATGTGTCTGAAGGTAATGAAACAAACCATGTCCGACTAATCTATATTTTGCGTTTTTTGGTACATGTTGAATTAATGAACGTAATTAAAATAAATTGTATGATAATGATATGACCCGATAGGTTTTCTCAGAACTTAACGAGCGTTATTAGGATACCGACAATGTTATAACGTAATATATATACTATATTGGTATGTCCAGGTTTACTACAATATTTATTACATAAATATATATATATATATATCATTTATAGTTAGCTATAACTGGCCAAGCAGATGGACCAAAATTGATGAAATTTTTTTAGGAAACCCATGGATACCCTGGGAGTAACATAGGCCGGGCACTTCCGCTAGTTATTCATGAATAGGGTTAATATAGTAATTGTTTACAGTCATGTGAAGCTCTGGCTTCTGGACTTTAAAAATATGCCTTAGAAATTACCTTTGCACATGGTTCAGAATCAACAGAAACAGCAGCGCGTTGAAATTTACCAAGCTTAGAGTAAGGTTGGAGAAAAGTTAGACCTGAAACATAATAAAAAAAAATCAAAGCTGGAAATTTATGAGTGTTATTTAGCTTCAAGCCGGGGTCAACTGCAAGTACATAACAGGGTTAGAAGATTATAAATTCTGGAACTGAACTAGGGTTTCCACGAAATGGCTAAATCTTTTGCGCAAAATTTGCTCGGTTTTGCGCTATTTTTTTGTGCAATTTGCGCAAAACTGGAAATATTTTTTGCAAAAGTTGCGCATGAAACAAAATTTTGGTTTTGCGCAATTTGCGCAAAACCACAAGTTTTACGCAAAATGTAACTTTTTAGGCAAATTGTCAAAAATTGATATTCTAAGCTTAGAATTAAACAACTGAAGATTTATTCCATGACGTAAAAAAAATATTAACATACGAGTATGATCAACGATTATACTACACTCAATTGGTTACTTCCAGTTACAAAAAGTTTAAATTAAGGGACTAAAATTAATAAAATAGAAATTAGAGAGTGTGAAACTTGGCAATATTTTAATCCTATTAAATAATTTCAAGTGACCCTTAAAAGCTTTGCCTAATCAAGTATGAATTATATTCATAATTTTTTTAATCAAATTTCTGAAATCTTTTTAATCTCATATAAATAATGCAAGAAAGTAACCAATGCCTGAAGAATCCACGTTTAGGAAATATGCATGTCCAAAACTAAAATTGTCGAGAAAATTTTGAGATTTGAACTCTTCTTAACTGTCATTGGTCAATTATGTAAAAGTGACCAATAGGAAGACATTCCAAAACAAGATTTCTCCAGAATTGAATTCCACGAAACACACACCGTCACCAACCGTTTGATTTTTACGAAATTTCGGAATTGCGCAAAACTCTAGTTGTGGAATTGCGCAAAACTTGAGTTTCGCAAAAGCGGAATAGGGCAATTTAGCTTGAAATGACTTTTGCAAATGATTGCGCAAATTGTTGTTTTTTTTCGCGCAAAACTGATGCGCAAATAAAGAAAAATTTTGCGAATGGAATCCCTAAACTGAACACTTACCACAAAATTAGTTTTCTTTTCTTTTTAGACTTTCCAGCCTTTATAATTTGAATATCAAAGGTACACAACTCAGGGGTTATAAAAACAAGAATTTAGATGCATGTTTTAACTGCAATACAGCCATTCCGATTAAGACAAAACGCCAAAAAAAAAAGAAAAAAAACATAAGCATGAAAACTTTCTTACAACTTTTTGTATTAAAATAAAGTTTTTAAAAAAATAATAAAATTGAATGATATGATACCTTGCTTGACATGTTGATGTCTACTAGTGCTCGTGTGTTCCTTAGTTGGCTCTGGCAGTACTTTGAACAAGAGGAAGAAAGAGAAGAAGATACTGCCCAGACAGGCCAGAGATATGGATAATCCTCTGATTCAAGATGATAAAAATATTAATTGTTTTGACATAATTAAACAAATTTTATCAGTCATATCAAATGAGGCGCAAAGAATGGGTAAGCTTCATAAAAATTTAAAAAGCGCTGGCTTAAATATTGAATATAATTTTAACAGGAGCCAACCATATTTGAGCCGTGTCTTTAATTTAAGCCGCGGCTCAAATTCTTTAAATTCGGCCTCAGGAAACAGGAAAACGATATATATATTTGATCTTTATATATACAGCAAAAGTTAAACCAGTAGCAATTGTGTGTTTCATGATCATTGGACCAATTCAAATCCCAACTTGAGTTTGCTCATTCACACCCGATTCCACTGCGAGTAAAGACAATTTTTTTAAAAATGCAATTTAAAATATATAGAAGGTTAAATTTTCCGGTACGACAATATGATTTCTTGGCTCCACTCGAGTATGTGAAAAGAAAGTTAATCCGAGGCCGAATTTAAAGAATTATAGCTGCGGTTCAAATATGGTTGGTTTCACTTAAAATTTTTTTAATTTTTCAAGATTGAAGCTGCGCTCAATTTGAAACCGGTTTTTGGTGCATTTGAGACGCAGCTTAAATACATTAAATTCGGACACTGGTTACAAATTTGAAATTCAAAACGTTTTTTCTACTTCATAACTTCTTAGTCTTTAATGAGAGTCGAGGACTTTTTAGCGTTACGTGCATATTCTACTTTAGCTAGATGAAAGAGTCAAGATAATTTCCATCATTTCCTAAATTTTCTAACAGAAGATGGTCTAGAGTTAAATAACAAGCCGCTACTTGGAGATTTCTTCATTATTCTTGTTTGAAACTTAGATTCGGAATGTTTTATTTTGGATAAAGTTTGTATTTAATCTATGATCTGTTAGATATAAACTTTTTTTGTTCTGAATTCACTTTTCTTTATGGAGTACAATTCTATTTTTTGGAGATTTTGAGATCCTTTCAGCCAATATTTATCTCCTGGGAAAAATAGATGCTCTGAACAGTTCTTGAGATTCTTCCAAAGAGATATGTCTTTTATCTGAGATTCTTGGGTTCAATGTAATGCTGTGGACTTGGAAAATAATCTAAATTGTTGTAAACATCTGACAAAATTTATTTAAACTTTAATAATAAACCTCAGACATTTTGAAATTCTAAAAAATAAAACATTTATGGATAATAAGTTTTAGAGGTGCATTCAGTAATTGATGATACCCGTTAAACACTGAACAAACTATTTCTTATTTCTAAGCTTTGCCTAACAGCAATTGTTGGTAAATAGCATTGTTTTGTAAAAACTAGACAATTAATATACATTATAATTTCATTTAGATTTGTATAAATGTTTCTACATATTTTGATTTAAGACACTAACACTGGACCATTTTTTTTAATAATCAGGCTGCCAGGCAAAGAGAGAAACAAGTTTACAGTTGCAGGGGAAAAAGGCAATACCAATTTTGTACGGTCGTCTCTGCAGTATTGTCCTTTACGACTACTAAAAGTATATTCTAAAAATGTTTATAAAACTTGAAGTACAAATCTCTGTAATTTAAATGTCTCTTTTACGCAAGCTATAAATATAACTGATCAAGTGAAGACCCGCCTGCAAAAGTCACGACACAAAAGACATGCCGCAGATATTAAAAACAAGTGTTTTTATTGTTGACATTGGCTTGAGTACCGGGTGACACATATTGAAATTGGCATGAGTGCAGGGTGACAAATGTTGACATAGGCATGAGTACAGGGTGACAAATATTAAAATTGGCATGAGTACAGGGTGACAAATGTTGACATTGGCATGAGTACAGGGTGGCAAATGTTGACATTGGCATGAGTACAGGGATGTTGACATTGGCATGAGTACAGGGTGACAAATAGTACAGGGTAACAAATGTTGACATTGGCATGAGTACATGGTGACAAATGTTGACATTGGCATGAGTACAGGGTGACAAATGTTGACATTTACACCAGTACAGAGTGACAAAAATTGACATTGGCACGAGTACAGGGTGACACATGTTGACATTGGCTTGAGTAAAGGGTGACAAATGTTGACATTGGCATAAGTACAGGGTGACAAATGTTGACATTGGCTTGAGTACAGGGTGACAAACAAAAATTGCGAAAAACAATCTACAAAAAAGAATTCTACAGGATTTACCAAGGATATACATTTTTTAGGATTCACAAGGATATTTATTCTACAGGATTCACAAGGATATGCATTCTATAGGATTCACAAGGATGTGCATTCTACAGGATTCACAAGGATATTCATTCTACAGGATTCACAAGGATATTCATTCTACAGGAATCACAAGGATACACATTCTACAGGAATCACAAGGATATACATTCTACCGGATTCACAAGGATATTCATTCCACAGGATTCACAAGGATATTCATTCAACAGGATTCACAAGGATATACATTCTAAAGATTCACAAGGATATACATTCTACATTCTACAGGATTCACAAGGATATACATTCTACAGGATTCAAAAGGATATTCTATCTAAAAGATTCACAAGGATATTCATTCTACAGGATTCACAACGATATACATTCTACAGGATTCACAAGGATATACATTCTACAGGATTCACAAGGATATACATTCTACAGGATTCACAAGGTATAGATTCTACATGATTTACAAGGATCTACGTACTCCACATTATTCACAAGGATCTACAGGATTCACAAGGATCTACATAATTCACAAGGATCTGCGCACCAACTTTTCCATGTGGAACTTGGCCATTAAGCCCCCTGTTTACGCCCCTGATCCATGACATTATTGGTGATTACTTTTCAAGATTCTTAATTATTCATTTAGTTTATTTGACTTCTATCCAGCAGCATCCTTACTTGTTTGTCATTTTGTGTACATCATTTCAAAATAAAATATCAGATTATTTTATAATATTGTTTTCACTATAATTATTAAAGATAATAATTCAAGAAAGAAACTATGATTAGTGACTAACAAGTTATGATTTTTGTCTGTTCAACGTTTACTGATTACTGAATGATTAAACAGTACATCTGTACCCTGTATCCCCCCCCTCCCCCCCTAAACCCTCTAATTATCACGTGTGAAATCTTAAACCCCTCCGGCCCCTTCCATCCCTTTTTTTGTTTGGACCAATGAAACGATAATTTTTTTGGTTCAACTGAGTACAAGACGAAAGGAAAATTTCGGGATTACATACGGTGGATAGGGCTGGGCACGTTCCAACTTTTTATAGCCGTTTTGTTAACGGTTAGTTATAACTGTTAAAAAAGAAAAATTTCAGGCAGCCGTTAGTTTTCAAGGTAAGAAAGGAACATTTATATTTAAAAGTTACCATCAGTTAACGATTTCAATTTTATCAACAGCATGTTAATGGACGATATTCTGCCGTTTCTGGTTGTTTGTATTAGCCGTTCGCAAATCGCGCATTAAGTGAAGAAAAATCTTTGTTAATGGTTTTACTGTTAACTGTGTTTGTAGTATTACCAGTGTTAATGTTTGCAAAACAGTTTATCAAACTTGATTTATGGCACAAGTCACACCAAATTGCAAAAATCAATCTTTAAATGTACCATGCATATAAATAGGGATTGAGGGACTTAAGAGAACATTTTAAAACGTCAAAATGTTTTCAATATATTTTTTGTTGCAATTTTCATGCAAATTTAGCCAAAAATACGTATGAAAGTGGCCGTTTTTAAAAACATATCTGATTTGTTTTTTGTTTTCAACCGGTATTTTTTTTCAGAAATGGCTAATCTGTTTTATTAATCATTTAAAAATTAAAGGTTTTTGCCGTTCATTAACGGACTCTTCTGTTAATTTTCGAAAACTTCTGTTTCATTAACCTGTCTTTGCAGCCCCAGTCCTAACAGTGGAAGGAAGGGGGTAAGAGTTTGGGGGGGGGCAGTTGAAGAGTTATAGAGGTGGGGGTGTAAAGTGATTAACACGGACATAGTTATAGGGGGGAGGGGGGTGTTGTGGTCCATAATCACGGTAATCCAAAGGTTTAAAGAAGTTCTAACGCAAAATTGTTGAGACTTTTGCTAATTATTTCAGAAAAAAGTAAGGCTAAAATCAAATGATCTATGGTTCTTACATGTATAACATGTTAAAGTATGAGTGAGTAAGTCAGGTATTAAAATGAAAGGCTGTAGGCGTTGCAACACTTTAAAGTGAACCCAGTCTTGTAAATGTATGCAACTTTTCATTGAAGTCTGGAGCTTTGTGGGGGATTAACAGTTAATCTTCTCAGATTGTGTTTTGTCTTTTTAATAAATCCAAAATTGACATATTTATTGGGACTCATCAGAAAGTTTTAGTTGGATTTTATAAATTGAAATCCATATATATAGTAAACTGCATTCAGCACGAGAAAGGTTTCTTCAGAACAATCACTTTTATAAGTTGTAATTTACTTTTATAGATGTTTAATAAGACACCCTTTAGTCTGTGTAATTGTTTTGGTTTGAACTTTGGAAATTTCCTGGAATTCCCCTTTATAGAACAAATTTTTGGATCATTCCATTTTCAAAATGTATTTTTTTTCCGGGATAATTGAAACCTAAGTGGTAGTCCAGTGGGGATTTTTTAAATCAATTTTTTCATTCTTACCCTGTATTGATTATGATAACAATAATTTGTTATTGTTGAATTACACTTGTATATTTTAATTGTGTAGAAACTCTTTTTGCCATGTCATTTCAACACTTGATCAGTAATAATTAGACTTTACAAATGGAAAACATTCCCACTTGAGTGTTAGGTACTTCATAATTAAGACATGTTCTTTAGGTTGAAACTTTTGTATGGTGTTTCTTTAAGCTTGAATGCTTGAGCTCTATCCATCTATCTTAGAGGAAATAATTAATCTGTTGGTCTCAGAGCCCAAAACTTAAGACAGGGTATCGTTATGAAAACCAGCTTTGGAACCCGGGTTTCACAAATGGGTTTACCCAGTTTTGTAGATATCGATATTTTTGTTTTGAAATATTATTTTTTTTAATCCTTTATATCTTACCATTTTTATCAAATCTCTTAAATCAAAATCTACACAAATAATAAGACCCCAAAAAGGAAATTCGGAAGTTTCGTTCAACGATACTCTATTAAATTTCAGGCTCAGGGGGATGATAGTTTTCTACCTCTGTGCTGTACTTAGCTGTACCTCTGTGCTGTGCTGTACTTAGCTGTACTGTACACTTATAACTGTTTACTAATATTGATATACTATAGGTTAGGCCATGGAATCAACTTATAATAAATAAATATGCATGTAGTCTTCACGCTCTCGGTATAGTTTATGGCCAAAAAAATTAGTAAAGGATTAGCGTACATCATCACCCTATACACTATAACCTCGTTGGTTGGTCTCCATAAGACTGTGATCAGTCTTGATTCGGATATTCAAAACATGAAAGTCCTCGCTCCAGAAAAAAGTCTTGTTGGTAGTTTTCTGTAATGTATTTCAGAATATGGTTTAAATATTTATTTAAATGATTAATATAAAAACACTGTGTTTTACCCCAGTTGGACGCATCAGTGTCTCAATGTTTCTGATGTTTTTGTTGGCGGGGCTTAAACCATTAATCCTTGAATTAAAAGTCGAACATCCTTACCACTGCACCATTAAACCCTGATTAATTGATAATGAAAGAGGGATTAGAGTCCTGAGTCCTCAACCAACTCATTACAAGTGTTCAACGCACTTATTCACATATTACCACAGAGTGCTCAATTTGACATTTAAATCAGAAATCTTAATCAATTTATAGTAAAAACAAAAATCAAAAATAATTTTAAAAAGGATATTAAAAATAAAAGAATTAGTTTAGTGTACATTTTTAAAAATTTTAATATAGGAAGATCATCTAACAAAGATTTGCAATTCATTTTCCTTTTTTTGATCTGATGCCATTAATTTCAGGAGATCTATGTAGGATAATTGGAGTTTTTTTTAATATAAAATAGTATTTTTCAATATTTTCTTATTAAATGGAAGAAACTTTTTTTTTCTGGCACGATCTGACCTACTTCCCTGCAGGAGGCTCAGCAGAACAAGCTATTCTAGGAATTTTTATCATCCTGTAAAATTTTCCAGTAAACTAAACCTGAGATTTTTTTCTCATGCTACTCTTATAATAAAAT